ATTTCGGAATTCTGATGTCGAGATTTTGTGGCAGAACCGACAGAGTCAGGTTAGAGTTACTTTTTTGATCAGTTAGTGTTACTATTTATATATAAATATCAAGAATACAATTATGCGATATGTAGGTTTTCCTGGTTTTAATGGACTTCCCCAAAAAGCAAAGATCAGACATTAAATTTTATCATACGATTACTACATCAAATCAGATTCAAGATTTTGTGTACGAACGCAAAACTCGAATTGAACCATCCACTACGTTCCTGGTATAGATATTCTATTCTTCATTCCGTGCAAAAGGTTCTAGAATCTCGATACCGATTATATATTAATTGTTTTAACAACATAAAGCTTTGTTTCCCGTTGTAACATTTGTGTAATATCAATTCATTCATTTCACCGGTATTAGAAATCCCTGAGTGGTAAATTATTCTTTGTTTCTTTGTTTTTTTTTTTCTCAAACAAATTAATATAGAAATCTGAACTAATGCAATACATAATATATCAAACGCTAATCTGACGCAGCAAAACAAAAAAAAGGTATATCTTGCGTGGGAAGATCATGTTCTTTGATTCTAATGAAATTAAATAAACAGTTTCGATGTTTGCTATCTACCTAAATGGCATAATTCTTATTGGTTTAAAATCTAGAACACAAATTACAAAAATTATAAAAAAAAATATGGTTATCCCTAATTTGGATTTTTTTTTGATTGTATGATATAAATAGATCTGATGTTTTCTTAAAATACGTACGTACCAGGTACATACGTACTTACACACATTCATATATACATATCTAAAATAATTCAGAATGTACGTACGTACGTATAAACATAAGTACGTAATCTATTAAAACGCCAAATTTTGTGTCCCAGAAAATAATCCAATTCGTTTGCATTGAAGCACTAAAAAAGGACAAAAAAAAGGGTTAACTTCCTTATTAATTTCCTTTTATATCGAGATTTTCAAAGGAAAAAGAAAGCAGCGAATTCACAAAACATAAAATCACTTAAATTTTTTTTTTTTCTACCCACAATTTTTGTCTAGTAAATCTGTATTTAAGTCTTTGAAAGAGAAAAAAAAAACTTACGCATATGTGAGATCAAAAAAATAAATCTCATGCATGCAATAGATCGAAATGCATCAATTTCCGTACTGTATTGCTGGTTGATTACTTGTTTTTTTTTTGCGATTGTATGTAGTGCAGCGACATTTGTCCATATAAAGTATTTACATATATAACCAGTTATTCTAGGTTTCGTTGTTCAAATTTTACTGACACTAAATGTTGTTATCATAAATAAATATTAGTCACTTAACAAAATTATATTTTAATAATCTATCAGTCATTCAAATAAAGTGAATTGAGATATAGATTAAAAATATTGATCTCTGATCAAAACTTGTTTATTCTTATCCTTATAGTAGTATTAGCCTTAAATTGCCAAGCTTAGCCTCTGTTATGTATGAGATAATCTCTTAAAACGTTTAATCTTGTTCTTGATGGTATAAACGGAATATTTCCGGACATCTTATCCATGTATGTATATACATATGTACGTAATACACAAATTACTTTAACGCTTTTTTCAAAAAAAAATTTATATATAGACCGTTTTTTTTTTCTTTTTTTCTATTTTTGTTTTTTATTGATAAAGCTGATAAATATACAAATCATGCCTAGGCAAATTAAGCCCAAAAACATTCGCAATATTCAAAATAAATTCAATACACACGAAACCCAGGTCACTTTACCTGACATTAAAATTAGGTCTCCCTTCCTACCGTTTCTCACCGTTAAAGAGCTTTGTAGCCTCAAAAATTTTCCTCCTCATGAAAATAAGCCAGGACAGTCACCTAATGCGTTCATCATTTATAAAATGGAACTTCATCGTGAGCTTAAAAATGAAAATTTTACTCTTTCTGATTTTTCTAAACTAGTCAGTAAAAGGTGGAAGAGTGAACCAGAATATGTAAAAACTGCTTATAGAAATTTGGCTGATGCTGTAAAATGTGAATACAGAAAGAAATTTCCATTTGTTTTCTTGCAAGATGATAAGATTAGAAAACATGTGACAGCCGATCCTGTCGATCCTGATCTCAATATTGTTGAAGTTGAGTCGCCTAAACTTAATCTTGTGAATGGCGTTAAAGTTGATCATTTGAATTATTATCTCAATGTGGCTGAAGTTGAATTGCTTAAGCTTGTAAATCATACAGTTCAGGTGGCTGGTGCTGTTAAAGATTTGGATTATGATTTTAATGTGACTGAAGTTGGGTCAACTAAGCTTAATGCTGTGGCTGGTGCTGTTAAAGTTGATTGTATGAATCATCGTTATGATTTCAATGTGGCTGAAGTTGAGTCAGCTAAAATTAGTCTTGTAAATAATACGATTCAAATGGGTAAAGATATTAAAATAACTGATGTCTATACGTCTATCGCTTGCCAAGCCGGAAAGAATCATAAACCTTATACTATCGAAGAATTTTATACTCCTATGTATGATATGTCTTCGAGCAATCCTTTTGCGCACTTTTCATATAGTGATTTCCATACTCCTCCATTTGATTATTCATTCAATGATTATGATTTTTATAATGATACACTTTTTTTCTGGGGTAATCCTTCTTATTCTCCTGAAAGCAGTCATTGTTGCTATCCCTTACCTCACAAAAACTCTTTTAATCCCTAAACATTTAAATAAAGTCAACCTTCCATAAATATGCCCTTCATGAGAATATAGGGCATGTTTTTCAAATTTGTGCATTTATATTTATGGAAGATTGACAGTAAATGCTGTAGGTTTCATATCTATTCTTTATATTCATATATTATTTGCTTATACTATTCATTATTTTTATTTCGTTATATTAATACAATATTATATATTTATTTATTTCTAAATATTAAATTTTTATCAATCAATCATTTAAAAATAATTATTTACATTAGTTAAAAAAAAAAACATAAAAAACATATAATCATTTAAAAAAAAAGAGAAAAAAAAACGTATAATCATTAAAAAAAAATAAATAAATAAATTTTTATATTTTAATAAGTAAAAATATGAAATAATAACTAAATAATTCAATGTTGCTGTTAACCCTGAAGCCTTTATTTAAAAGGCAAATTGGAATTAAAGCTTGTATTGAGATTGAATGTTGTAATAAAGTTATTATAATCACACATCTAAAGTGCATAAAATAAACTTAATTTGTTGAATTGATTAGTTATTTGGACTGAAGTAGCTGAAGCAGAGGGGAGCGAAGTAAAATCTTACTCTTAAGAATTTAGCCGATGTCCGTCCTCATATTTATGTTAAAGTTTAACTACCCCGTAGAACTTTAATCAACAACCAGCTCATAAAGATTAGAACTTAGGGTTTTTAATTTACATGTAAGTTTACCGTGATTTACTAATATAAGTTTTATCTTAACTGGCATAAATTATCTAAGTTATTTAAGATAAATACATATGTTGTTTGTCATCGTGATTTGGTTATAATGCTAATCCTGGTAGAAATTTGTTATATGATTCAACCAACTTTAATCATTATATTGAATTATATTGTTAGAAACCGCTTGACCGATTAAAAATTGTTTCACAATTCAAGGCTGAATTATGTTGGTCATGGGCCAGAGTTATTTTTGATGTTGGCTGAATTAAACGGTTAACTAGTGTTCCACAAGAAAGATCAGATCAGATCTGGTAATTTTAATGATTATATGAAGAATTTCATAACGATAAAGGGTAACTGAACTAAAACTGTATCAAACGATTTGAATCGTATGAAATTCCTGATAATTTATAAAAGGGTATATAGGTATATAGTAGAGTTGCTGGTGAAACTTGGTGAAACTTGGTGAAACTGGTGACTATCTAAAATCTGATTGGCTATTAAATGCAATAGCCAATCAGATTTTAGATAGTCACCAGTTTAACCAGTGTGATTTAGTTTCACCTGCAGCTCTAGTATATAGTAAAGCTGTATAGTCGATATTTCTATATTGCTGATTTTCAAAAAAAAAATAAATAAATAAATAAATAAAAATAAAATAAAAATTTTATCGTATTCAGATGTCCAGTAGCCTCCAAAAGTTTATCATAGTTGCATGAACAAATTAATTGTTTTTTTAAAAATGGTACAACTCATCACTAAATAAATAAAAAAAAAACTTGAATTGATAGTTTGTAACCCAAGCTACATTTCTAAGAGAATTTCTCATATTTTTATCTTTAAAATATTAAAGATAGTTTATTTTATTTGTAACGGTAATTAAAAAATTTGGCACGCTAAGATATTGGTCATGCAACGATAAATAACGGGAAATTTGTGTAGCCGGGCAAATTTCACACTGCATAACAAATACGTATCTTATTAAAGTTATTTCTGGTGTTTATCAAGGCGTTAATACTATTGAATTAGACAATTTAGCAGCGGAGAGAACAGCATACCGTATTGTCTCGAAATAACGCGTAGGGGTGAAATTACGAATTTCGGCCTAAATTAAGCTTAATTCGGGCCATTATTCTAAATAAAGTCCATGCCCGTTATTTCGCGACAATAAGGTATATAACTACAAAGTATCTTGATCATGTTATTTAGCTGCGTGTATTGCGATCTCTAATCCTCATAAAGAGATCAATAAAGAAATCAAGAAAGCCTTTTCTACAATCATCGGATCTAATTACGTACTAGGGATGCAGCTAATTTGCGGGGAGTAAAGAATAGTATTTATGTATTTTAAGTATGATAAGGAGGAATAAAGGACTTTAGTTAGGATGAATGAATAAATTTGCTTAGATAACATTTTCAACATAATCTCCAACAATTATTGTCGCGGCTGATGCTGAAATTGGCTGATGCTGAAATTTGGACCTATTTTGATACGAAATTTTAAAAAAAAATTGGGGTGTTTTTTTTACCACCTTTTTTTTATAGTTAGGTTAGGATTTAGGGTTGGAATTTATAATTAAAGAGTATATGTGGATTCTAGCAGGGCCTATATTTTAAATTTGGGACCCCAAATTTCAGCATCAGCCAATTTCAGCATCAGCCGCGACAATTATTACTTGGTGTTGCAAATAGTCGTATAGCTAATACCATGAAATACGTTGCGTAGGCTAATAAGAAAGTAAAAACATACAGTATACATAAAATGAATTTCTTAAAAAAGCGTATAGTATAACCAAATTTGAGTCGCTTATACTAGTTTGTACACTGTTTTATATAGACAATGATTAATATATCTTACGTAGACTAGAAAAAATGGTAGCTGGACAAATTTGCCGGTTTCGGATACTGATATTCGGTAATGATAATTGAATTATGACTAGAGGTGCAGACATTTTTGTTGCAGTGCTGCCTCAATTACGTGGGTCGTAATACATGATGTAGGTCGTAATAGATGTTTAAGGTCGTAATAACCGCCGTATGCTGTAGTAAATGTCAGGTCGCAATACTTGTCGTATTTATATATAGTACATTGTAAAGTTGATTTGAACGTTAAATGGTCTAGCGTTTCAGGAGAAAATAAAATATGTTGTTCGAACTTTGATAATTAAGCGCAGATTACGTAAGCTTCGCGTGTTTCAAAAGAAGCAAGATAAATTATACAGTCCAAATCATAACAAAAATATAAATTAATAAGAATAATTCGTATAATTTCCGGGAAGCTAAGAATTGGAAAAATCGATTTTATGTAGTGCAATTATTTAAAGTAAATTAATATATTTAAGTTTACTGGAGCTGCCTAATTTTATTTTTTAATATTCTTTTGGAATTAAATACTCTAAAATGTTGAGTTGTGCTCTCATGACAATAAATCATTTTAGTTACGATATTACACATAGATTTATCTTGAAGTATAAAGTTTTTGATGTGCAAAAACTAAAAAAACTGATGTGAACTATTTAACAGACAAAGCTTGCATCCAAAATCGTTACAATTTTTAGATAAGTCATTGAATTGATCTTTGCAGCAGTTTCGAATGTTATCAAAAATGAATCAAAGAGTGAGTTGAGCTGCATTTGTAAAACAAAAATATTTTAAAAATAGCATAATTAATAAAAGAATTATACACATGTACAGATATACAGTACATACCATAAACCATATTTAATGATATAAAAAAAATACTAACCTTCCATAAATCCTTTGACTAAAAATTGATTTACTAACTCTTTGGGAGAATAATCCATGTTTTCAGACCGGTTAAAATGTTATTATTATTACAACACCTATTTCTTGTTCATTCTCAGGATAATATTGTGACAATCAACTATTTCACCAATAAGTAAATCATCTTGCATGGATTCGATATTCTCAACTAACTCTAAATCAGCAAATCATCTTCGTTTAAGGACATTACCTTATCAACTGCTGAAATGTTAACAGCCTCATGTAATTCAGCCTATGTAAATCCTTCTTCATAGCTGCTTAACTCGGATTTTATGTTAGTCATATAAATGATCTAACTTTAGCCATATCTTCCAAATTTTCACTATCTAATCATATTCGTTTGTCACCGATAGTCTATTTTAAGGTAAAAAAATTTTTCTCACAAATTGCTTGTGATGAACTATAGTACCATTGTAGTCAATTAAAATTTAAGATCAGGTGTAATGTGAAAATTAGCTTTGTATAGCAAAAACAAAGAATTTTTAAAAAATCAATTATAGCTCAAAATTTTGTCTATAAAACTACCTTTCAAGCCTTACTCTAATATTAAAAAAATTACATAAGATCGTGCCACGGCTGCAAAAGTATTTCATTTAATAAATACGCTATATTACATTACAACATATATAACAATTATAATATGTATACTGTATACTATTCATACCTATATAACTACATTATGGCATATGACTTTACTACTACTATTACGACTTATAACATGTCATAACCGATAATACTTGCTACATACTTATTATTACTACTTACGTTATGGCATATGACATATATAAATACTCAATATTCATATTTCTATTACGACCTATAATATGGTATAATGCTTGCTACTTAAATTGTGTCAATGCTACAAAAGTTGCCTCAAAATGTCTGCACCTCCAATTATGATCAATCATAATAACCACTCTAACTCATATTTAATATGTATACTGTATTCTACCGTAAATAAGACCATCCCCTCTACCCCATTTTTTTAAATGTCAGATTTGCGGGAATAATTTGGCTAAAAATCTTGTTACGATTTCCGCTAATCTGTAATTTAAAAAAAATGTGGTAGAGGGGATGGTGCTTATTTACAGTAGAATACGGGTAGTTTGCAAATGTGACGTAATGAATAAATTTTTAGTAATCATTAAAATTAGGGGAATTTACAAATAAGGGCCCGGAAAGTGAAAATAATTACAAATACGGGCCCAAATTAAAAATAATTACATA